TCGCGGAGTTGGCAGCTTCTGTGATTGCTGTTTTGAAGTCTTCTTCTAGTTTATCAAGAGTTTTGTCACCAATTTGATAGGAAGAAGCCCATATTTCAATGAGTTTTTGGAATCTACCCCAGTTTGCTTTGTGCGTATTCCATTTTGGTTGGTAAGGTGGGGAGTTCATCCTAGGTATTTCTATAGTAATGATTAAGGCTGAATGGTCGCTGTTTAGGTGCTCGTGAAAGGAGGAGTTTGCATTAGAAGCTAGATAATCATTAGTGAAGGTTAAATCTAGGACTCCTCCTCTTATGTGGGTAGCCTTAGTCTTATTTAGAATTTGTATATGGAGGCTATTGGAGAGATGATGTTCTATATGTATTCCTGGAGGATCTTTCAGAAGTGGTCGATAGGATGTTGGGTCATTGAAAAGAGGATGGTGAGCATTAAAATCTCCTCCAAGGAGGATGGGACTATTTTCTGCTATACTGAAAAGTTCATCTAATTCCAGAATACAAATTGTTTCTAGGGGACGGTAGCAATTGTAAATATCTATGATTTCTTCCTGTAAATGAATTGATATAGCTAAAGATTCTATATTGTGGCCTAGGGTTGCTGGTTGTTTAGTTTATATGGCTAGGTATGGAGTTTTTAACCAGTGTCATCAGCCCTCTGGGACCTCTCCTAGAATAGGAAGTTGTATAGATTTGATATCCTGGGAATTTTATATTAATTCCTTCGTAAATGGTTTCTTGTAGAATTGCAATGTCAATCTGATCCCTGTAAAGGGAGTCCTTAAGAAAAGGTAGGTGATTCCTTAATCCACCTATGTTCCATTGCAATATTTTAATTGGTTGTTTCTTAGTATCCATAGTCGTTTTTGTTATTGTTCTTAGTTCTGTTGTTTGTAGGAGAAGGAATTTCTATTCTTGGAGGAGAAGTTTCTGCTAAGCTTTCATTTTGACTACTGTGTGCAAATATTTCTAGATTAGGATGTTTTTTTTTAGCTGTTCCAGAGGTTCCTCTGTGAATTCTACTACATCAACCTCTGAGAGAGAGAATGATGCTTCTGGTGAGGAAGGATTTAAATCTAAGGAGGGTACTTGGGTCTTGATAATGTTTGGTAGATTTGTCATTATCGAATTAAAATTGCTGATCAATTGGACCAAACGATTAATCATTTGGTTGGCTTGTTCCATTATTCGTTCTAATGAGGAAGTAAGAGTATCAATATTCTTTGAGTAGGTTCTGAGGAGGTGCAACGGAAGGAGTACTCTGTGAATCTGAAGGTCTTTCTTTGATGGGGTGTATTGTCTCTGTCGAAGATTTTACAAAGAAAATTACAAACTCAAATAGACTAAATCAAAAGTAGTCACAAATTCTTCGACAGAGACAATACACCCCATCCAAGAAAGACCTTCAGATTCACAGAGTACTCCTTCCGTTGCACCTCCTCAGAAACCTACTCAAAGAATATTGATACTCTTACTTCCTCATTAGAACGAATAATGGAACAAGCCAACCAAATGATTAATCGTTTGGTCCAATTGATCAGCAATTTTAATTCGATAATGACAAATCTACCAAACATTATCAAGACCCAAGTACCCTCCTTAGATTTAAATCCTTCCTCACCAGAAGCATCATTCTCTCTCTCAGAGGTTGATGTAGTAGAATTCACAGAGGAACCTCTGGAACAGCTAAAAAGAAAACATCCTAATCTAGAAATATTTGCACACAGTAGTCAAAATGAAAGCTTA